TTCTATCATGAAGCAACAACAAGTTCTGTTCGAGGCACTCAAATGAAGATGATAAGTCCATGATGTATACATTTATTTTGCGTTTTTCTTCTGCGAAACAGTCTACGTCAGCGGACGCAGCCGCGACCTCTATCACTGAATTTACTTATGATCCCAACTCCGGCGTAAATTTCGACGCTTGCTTTAAAGGTTGAAAATAAATCTTCCGTGTGGAGTTTACCAAAGCTGATGACGCTTGGAAGGTACGTCTGCTACTACGCAAATTGGGCACCAAAGAGCACGAGCGGTATATGGATATGATTTTGCCAAAAACCTCGTGATTTTACCTTCGACGAAACCGTAAAGCACCTGTTAGAAATCTCCAGCGAGAAGTTTTCCTTGTTTAGTATTCCAGACCAGTGCCTCAAACTGGTAAATAAAGAGACATACGATTTTTTGACGTTCGCCAGTATCGTCAACCACGAGTGTGAAAGGTTCAAGCTGCAAGAGATCACCGAAGATCAATTCAAGTGCTTCATCTTTGTGAAGGCTCTGCAGTTACCTCGCGATGCTCAAATCAGGACTCGTCTGCTCTCCGAAATTGAAAAGGACCCAGACTCAATCCTGCGGAAATTGACGGCCGACTGTCAGTGGCTCAAGAATCTTAAGGATGATTCTGCGATCGTGGAGAAACCCAGTTCTTCGTTAGTCGCCACCAACGCTTATGCCGACACCCGCACGTAGTCGATTTCGCTACATAAGCCGCAATACTCCTTATTCAGAAAACCGGTGTCAGCATGCATGCAGTGCGGTGATTGGCATTTTGTTTGCTTCTGTCCATTCACGAAACACCTTTGTCAGAAATGCCACAAGCTAAGACATAAAGAAGACCACTGCCCAGCAGGCCAATCCCCAAAATCAAGGGCAGGCGAGAGGAAAAAGAGACGTTTCAAACGCTCTTTATCTTATCCCGGTCTGAAGTCTCACTCAATGCTAGCCCCATTCCAGACTGACTTTGAGGCAAAAAGGAAGTATCTTACGGTTATTATCAATGGCGAACCTGTACGCCTCCAGCTTGACACGTCCTCAGACATCAGCCTCATCTCAAAGCACACTTGGCAGATGATTGGACGGCCTCTGATGATCACATCAGACAAAATGGCTATGACTAGTTCCAAAAGATTTATCCAGGTCACGGGTAAGCTTGAATATGACGTTTCCTTTGATGGCACTCAATTCAAAGGAACATGGCATCCTACCAAATGTCCGAGGCCTGACTTAATTGGCCTTGACTGGATCAAGAAACTCGGTCTCCTGGACTTGTCACTTAACCGGATTCGCAGTGATGTGCAGTTAACTTGGCTGAGTCTCACCAAATCAAATCAGCTGGCAAAAAAGCTGATGGTGACCCTACAGATGGTTTACTCCAGTGCTTCATGACGGGTTTGGCTGCTGCAACAAGATGGTCACTCTGTGACTTCAACCAAATGCAAAACCTGTCTTTAGACCATAAAGACCAGTTCCTCATGTTTTACTTATAGTAGTCGACCAAGAACTTGATCGTTTTCAGTGCGACGGTGTTCTTCAACCAGTCAATTACTCGGCATGGGCTGCACTGATCATGGCTGTTGAGAAAGCCAGAGGTAATATCCGAATCTGTGCTGATTTTTCCACTGGTCTCAATGCTACTCTGGACACACACTAACATCCTTTGCCCTACCGGAAGATCTTTTTGCTAAACTGAATGGCGGAACTTGTTTCCCTATGCTGGATTTATCTGATGCGTACCTCCAAATTGAGGTTGCCGAATAATTCCGAGAGCTTCTAACAGTTAACACCTATCGTGGTCTGTTCCAATTCGCCCGTCTACCTTTCGAGGTTAAGACAGCTCCTATTGAGAAGAAGACGACTCGATCGCTGGGACAATACTTCTATTCACCTAAAGTTTCGAGATCCGTCGCGGATTCATCATGAAAAGACATAATCAGAGAGCAGTAGCAGTAGTTCCCACTATCTTCCAGCAAACAATTGACACCATGCTGATGAGCATTGAAGGGGCCGCTGCCTATCTGGATGACATCATCGTCACTGGTTCAAATCCAAATGAAATGTCGCAACGCCTCAAGACGGTACTCTGCTGGATTCAAGACTATGGTTTCCGCCTACGCCTGGAGAAGTGCAATTTTCTCCATACCTTCTCTGAAATACCTCGAATTCATAATCGACCAATACGGTCTTCGTCCAGATCCAGCTAACATCGACGCCATCAAAAAGATAACACCACAAAAAGACGTAAATTCCTTGCGCGCTATCTTGGGTCTCATGAGTCACTACAGCTCTTTCCTTCCGGAAATGCACAGCCTTCGTCGAACAATCTGCTCAAGAAGGATATCAAGTGATCCTGGTTGCGAGAGTGTCAACAAGCGTTTGAAGGAGTGAAAACAATATTGAGCTCTGACTTGCTGCTTACGCACTTCAATCCCGATCTGAAGATTGTCGTTGATGCGGACACCTCAGACTATAGAATTGGCGCCATAATTTCACGTTTTTCCCGACAACCCAGAAAAGGCTATATATGTCATGCAGCAAGATCACTAACCTCTGTTGAACGAAAATACGAACAGCTAGATGAGGAAGCCCTGGCTATCATTTTCGCCGTGAAGAAGTTTCATAAGATGCTTTATGGGCGCCATTTCCCCCTTCTCATGGAGCACAAGCCTCCTCT